AGCCGAAGTAAAATATGCGACAAAGTCACCGTGGCCGGAGCCGAAGTAAAGCGTGACTAGGTCATTATGGCCGTAGCCGAAGTAAAATGTGAGTCACTGAGGCCGGAGCCGAAGTGAAACACTTACCAAAATTTTAAAATGTTGAAAAATGGGAAGGAGTGGTTGAGTGGGCTTAAGTGGGCCCGTTTGCGAAGTCTGACTATGACACGACACATGAAGTGACAGCTGTCCTCTGAATGACGTGCGTAATTAATGCGGCTGTAAAAAGATAACTGTAAGAGTCCAACGGGCTGGTTTGAAAGGCGAACCGTCAAGTTTTAAACGGTGTCGTTTAATGGTTTAACCGTCGAATTCGAAACGGTGTCCTTGCTGCCGTCAGATTGGGTTAATCCCAGCCGTTGGGGCGTATTTTGCCTTTGGTATAAAAGGCTATACTTCTGCAGAGGGGACTTTTTTACCTTCGCTTCAAATTTTCTATTGAATTGCTACTAAACTTCTGCGGTTTCGTGCGGTTTGCGTTTTAATCCAGACTTCAACAGCAGTTTCCAAGACCAAAAATTAGGTAAAGTTTATGAATTTGTTGTTTTAGCTTTGTTGAGATGTTGTTCTCCTTTCTCCCTTTCTGTGGTTGATTTTGGGTTTGTCGGAGGGAATTTGGGAGTGAGAATGTGTTGAGGGTACTTGAATTGTTAAGGATCCTGATTTCGTTCCTCCGCCCTCTGTATGCAGAAATTAAGATGTCTTCAGACGAGGCTATGAGTGTGGTGGGAAGTGAGGTAATGCCCCTGGAGTATGGTGGCATGGATTCGGAGACCAGTCCGTCTCCAACGAGTTCGGAGAGGACAGTGGAGGAGAGGGGAGAAGAAGTAGTAGTAGGGGAGGAAGAAGAGGAGATTCCCTCAAACGTTTTAGAATCTGGGGGTGGCGTGGATGGGTGCTATGACCCAGACTTAGAGATAGTGTCTGAAGTGAGGGGGTATGTGAGCGAGTTAGGTAGTAGGAGTAGTCTTGGGGGGTTAGTGGGAAACTGTAGCCTTCCCCACCATGTCCTAATCCGGCCGGCCGGGGTGAATGAGAGGGCATGCTCAGCACCCCGTGACCACTGGATGCCCATATACCTGCACTATTTGATTGCAGGGCTTAGGTTTCCCATTCCAGAATTACTGGTTGGGTTGTTATTAGATTACAGCATAGGAATAACCCAGCTAACTCCCAATGCCATGAGGGTAGTAATAGGTTTTCTTGTATACTGCAGAGTTCGGGGGGTTGGGTTTCCAACTGTAAATATGTTCAAACATTTTTTTATTATTAAGGCTGGGGGTAGAGGAGAGAAGGGATGGTACCACTTCGGTCCTCGGTCGTCCAGCAAAGAGAATAAGAATTTATTCTCTCCTGGACCGTCATCCATCAAAGGGTGGAAAGAAAATTTCTTCTTTGTGGATGACACCGAGTGGAGTAGGAGGGATTCCGAAGTGGAACAGTTGTCTGCTTGGAAAGCGAAGAAAGCTAAGCAGAACAACTATAAATTAAATGAGGATGAGGCGGAAGAGGTGGAGAAGCTGGTGAGGGAGGATGGAGACGTGGTGGACATCTTATACCTCACCAGTTCGCAGGCAATAGAGGCTGCTGAGCTCTATGGGCCAAGCTCATTGAGCGAAGGTCTGTGTATGTTTTCATTATGCTATGTTAGTTATATCTTAGTTTATGCGTTTTGACCGTTGTGTTTGTTTTGCAGCTGAGATGGAGGAGTTTACAAATGCTGCTGGGGGCTTGCGCATCCCTAAAAAGCCTAGGAAGAAGTCAAAGACTACAACTGCGGCTGAGAGGGAGGTGACAGGGCGATTGACCAGCAGCTCTACCCATGCTGTAGAGGTGCATCCAAGGCCGGAGACTACCATGGGTGGCAGTGAAGAGGTGAGTGGTGAGATGGCACCTCTTCAGAGGAAGAAGAGGAGGGTGGCAGAGCTGGGAACTGAGGTGGTGGAGTTCGTACCCCAACCTTCTCCTCCAGAAGTCACTCCTGAACACGGGGGGAGAGGAGAGGTCGAAGTGCGAGGGTTTGATGGGGGCAGGGAGCGCACCCCTCCGCACATATACCAGAAAAGTTTGTTTGAGGCGAAACACTTCCTCAACGCTACCCTTCCTGAGGTGGATAGGATGCGGGCGAAGGACGAGGTGGTTAGCCACGCAGGGTATACCATTGTGAGGCATGCCTTGGAGGTACGTGAAATAATTAGATTTTACTTCGGTTGTATGTTTTGAGTTGTTTGTCCTGTGCTTAGTGTCTAACTTCTGATTGCATTGTAGAGTGCGAGCTAGACAAACGCTCTAGCGCAGGAGTATGCAGAGAGCGTTAAAGATCGTGCCAGCTTGCAAAGGCAGTGCGACCAATTTCAAAGGGAGAAAGATGAGCTGCAGAAGGAGAAGGTGGAGTGGGAGAAGCAGAAGAGGGAGATGCAGAGGAGGCTGGATGAAGTGCTCCCTTCAGTGACCGAGCTGCAGAACGAAAATGACGTCCTAAGCACGAAGCTCGACCTCGAAGAACGTAAAAGGAAGATCTGCGAGGAGAAGTTCGAGGCTCAGGACAAATATATGGATAAGATGAGGAAAGCAGCTGTGGAGCTGAAGAAGAACGTGGACACGCTCGTTCACAATGGGATGGAGGAGCATATTGGCAACTTCCTCAACTCCGGCACCTTCAAAGACATTCTCAATCTCTACCGGCTGCCGACTGCAATCGTGGCCTTCACCGATTGTAGAAAGAAAGTGAAGGCCCAATACCCAGAGGTGGACGTGACAACAGTCATCTTTGGGGAACAAGAAGAAGGGGTGGAGGAAGATGGGGAGAGCCTCTGTGCTGACTTCCTACCTCAGATAACTCTGAAGTGGGAGCGTGATGCAGAGGGGCGCACTATTTTTCCTCCAGCCTATGACGCTGAGTTGGTGGCCGTGGAGGGAGAAGAAGAAGAAGAAGAAGAAGAAGCGCCAGGCGCCGGAGTTGGGGATCAGGCAGCTCCAGTCGAAGTGCAGCCTCCTGAAGTGCACCCAGTCTCGTCTGACGAAGTGCAGACGTTGGCCCCTGGTGAAGCAGAAGTGCCACCTCTCCCTGCTGGAGACGAG